TTAAAGTACCGCCCTAAAGTTAAGGTAAACTCTGCACTGTTTATTTTTTTTTTTTATTGCAGTTTCCACTGCACTTTCTCTCACTGCCAAGAAATGGGAGGAAAATTAGGTTGATTTCAAAGAACAGAGGTGAAAGCGATGGTTATCTTACAGGATCATGTGACAGCAGGAACATGTCAACATGGTGATGGATGCGCCTGTTTAGCACGCAGTCTGGAGTGACACACCTTTGCAACAGGTTTAACATGTTTTGTAATAGAAACATTTGTTTTGATTGAACTTAAGCTAGATAATTAACTTTAAAATATGTGTAATGAAAAGTGGCATGCCTGTTCAAGGCACTTGAAGATTAGCAAAAACAAGACCCGTATGTTGGTATTAGCTTTGGTCCTAACAATAAACACTGTTGATCATGTCAAGAGTACTTCAAAAGTTGACAGCCTTGGTCTAAGACCTTTTGGACCTTATTGGCTCAGTAAAATGAGCTGCACAGTTGTCAGTATTGTTTCACTGCAGCAAAACAAGTTCTGGGTTCAAAAGAAAAGGAAATGAGTCTTTGTGCATGGCATTTGCGTTTTCTCTCTGTCTGTGCTTTCTAGGTATTCTTGCTCTTCAACTGTCCAAAAACAAGAGTGTTGGTTAATCGGTCTGATCACTAAGCATACTATTAAAACCAAATGCTGTATTAGACATTAATAGCTTAAATGTTTACCGGATTAAGTTAGCTAGAAGGACAAACATTTATGTTTATAGAGAAAGCTTAGAGAGTCTTCAAATAAACCAAATTTTACAATCAGAACTTGCCATACGTTTCCTTATTATTTGATAGAATTGTCTTTCAAGCGTCATATTGTGGTCAGTTGTTTGGAGTTTCCTCTCACAAACTTCTTGCTTAAATTTCAGCTCATTCCTCTTGAGAACTGATATAACTGGGTCAGCTTTGTAGCCCACATCGCTCACACACACCTTTTTAGTTCTGGCCAGAAACTGTCCACAGGACTGAAATCACAGCTTTGTGATGGCCCCTCCAAAACACGGACCATGTGTTGTCCTTAATCTTGAGCAAAGCATATGACTGGGTTCTCCACTGCAGGCATTTTGAATTCGTACTTAATGGATTTATTTGTGCTGATTTCTTTGTTTGTGTGACTTACTTGGGTCTGGAGATCATTTCATTTCACATTCCTATTAAAAATATATACTCTCCAAAAAAATATTGACTGAAATATTAATTTGTGCTTCTAAATATTTAGTTTTTATTTGTGCATAAATCTCACTAAACGCTTTCAAACAACTTTAGTAATTTATCCATCCCACTGTTTATGTACTCAGATGTACAGATTCCCTTTACAGCAGGTCAGGCGACCACGTCTCTGTGTGTTTATGGGATTAATGAGACGTTTTGTAGTAAATTTAACAGATTACTACTAATCCTGCTGACATGGTGACTTCTTCCTGATGCCCTCTGACCTCTGGCCTCAATCCGTCTCACAACAGAAGCTGAGTTGATAACAAAGCTTTGATCAGCTGTGAACTCTTTTGTTCTCACACAGGACACACGTTTGTCGTAACGTGTGCATAAACTGGTGAAATAGACCCATAAGGAAATGTTTCTTTTAAGTGTGGTAGCACACTGCCCTCTAGTGTTTTTACTGAAGCACTACGCTGTTTTTCCTTCAGGAAGAGAAGCAAGCCAAAAGAGCAGGATGTTTTTCTTGAACCAGCAAACTGTACCCTTAATTCACACGACATGTGACAGTAATGGAGAGCAGCGAGACATCTAAGTTTGGTTCTTCATTCATGGCCGAGCTCCGTCTTTATCCTTTAGAAATAAAAATGTCAAACATCTTTTAAATTATGACAATAGAAAACCTCTTTGTTTTGCAAATCAGTGAAATCAGTCAATTTTTTTTCAGGTCGGTTTGCTGAGGTTACCAATGAAACTGGAATATTGTACTTTTTGAATAAATTAACAACATGATACAATTGCAAAAGTATGCATGCCTCTTGAACTCCTTCATATTTTGTCTTGTTACATCCACAAGCATCATTGTAGCACAAAAGCAGTACAGAGCTACTAAGTGGATACAATCTGAAAAGTGTGGCATGCACCCATGAGTGGATACTTCCACTGCAACTTCGTCTTTGGAAAATAATGTTCCATATACCATCTAGACTCACTGCAGATTGTCAGCTGGATTTAGGGCTTGGCTTTGAATGAGCCAGTCTGATACAACTATAATTTTATCTAAACCACATTAGTGTACCGCTGCATGTTTAGTTTTAATATCCTAAACATTCAGATGCTACCAAAGTACATGCATAATACAAACAAAACAACTTGTAGTGGGACTTTTATGAAAAGCTGGAGCAAGAACAGCATGAAGGGGATTTCCTGTTTCTCATTGTTTAAATAGTGTTTAGTTTAAAAAATATATGTTTTAATCAAAGTGTTGTACAATACTAAAACAGATCAAACCAAGATACAAAACTAATAAAATATAAAAGAAAATAATAAAAGCTGAATAAAATGGGATTGTACCATAGAAACAAACAAACTAACTCATACCGTATCAAATGCCATTAAAAATAAGTGTGCTTTTTTGGAAGTATACGACTGAAAAGACTGAATCTTGATTCAGTCTGTTTATGGCGAAACATAAAGCTGCAGCAGGTCAGAGAAGTATGGAGGAGTGAGATTGATAACACATTCAAAACCCAAGAAAAAGATTTTAAAACCAATTCTTTGTCACACAGGCAGACAGCGGAGAGATGACAGAACAGGTGAGAAATGTCGAAATACCGGCTAAAAGACGGGCAGCAGCAGCAGTTCAGGTGAACAGCTTTTTCTCTTTAAGTTTCAAGTTATGGCATTTCTTTCCACTTCTGGATAAATAATTGAACAGAGTTCTCTTGATTTATAACCCAATAATCTTCTCCATAACTTGGTCTTCATGATGCTTAGTGCTCTTCAAGGTCCTCATAAAGATCTTTACAGAACAACTAGATTCATACTGAGATTAGTCGTCACATGTGCACTCGACAGTGACATTACATATATGACACTATATATTATTTAGATAAGCTAAATGATGGAAAGTCAGTTTATATATGAAAAGTTTTTAAACCATTTTATTGGCGATGTGCAGACAGGGGGGACATGCTCTCATCGTATGGCAGCCAGTGGAGTTAGTGAGAGGTCGATCAATCCCAGGTGAGGCTCAGCTCGCTGCCTCACCAGCTGCGCTTCTGAGCATTTGAATGCGAAAATGTGAAAATTCTGCGTCTTTGTAGAGAGAGAAAAATCAAAATTGGTGAAGCTAAATGAAAAATAAATACTTCACAGTACAAAACACTGGTACTCGATTTTCCCAGTGACGAAAAAGGAACTGAATATAAGTACATGCTTTGTTGGAAAACCATGGATCATTTTTCTTCCATACTTTATGTTGGTCTACATAAAAAAAGAAATGAAATGCATTTTTTGTTGTGGCTTAATAAATAAATAGATTTTTTAAGTGTAACGTGAGTATCTTTGACTCTTAGGGCTGAGGAATTTGTGATGAGCTACTTTAGGAATTTCTTGTATGTAAAATATTTTCCAATACATCAACATAGCAGACTGACTGCATGCCGTTGGATGCAGCCTCCATTATACTCTCGTAAACCTGACGACCTGCAACATACGAAGAAAAGCAATCTGTTATTTTTCATGTTGTCTGACAGCAGAAAGACAACATTTTTACATCATGACCTTCTTTCTGTTTGTGTCAGAAGCCGCTGACCTAGTGTTAGGAAAACTCCGTGGGGCCCGTGACGGGGTCGTGTAAAAGCAAAGACTTAATAGTTTTCATGTGCATGTTTTCGTGAGCCTCCGTCTGGCAGCACGCCTCCCATTCATCCCTTCTCCTCTCCGATTGGCTGCCGGGCGCCTGCTCTGTCCTCTGATTGGCTGATTTCTGAGCTGCATTCGCTGTCCATGTGTGCATCATGTGAACAACAGAACGCTGCTCTTCTTCTCGCTTGTTTGCTTGCCGATGTACTTGAAACATTACGGTAACGTTTAAAAACACGTTTTCTCAGAAAGGAGCACCGAACTCCCTGGTACTGAAGATGTTTTTTGATTAAGTTTTATTGAAGGAATCCAAAACATGCACTGGATGGTTCCATGCAAAACAGAAAAAAGCAAGTGGTAACAGGAGTTTTAAGTGCAGAATGTTTTGTAATGGCTACCGCTTTAACTTTTTACATCCCCCCTTCACCAGTTAGATCATTTTGTGAGACATTTGTATCATAAAAAATACATACTTCAGTTTCAACTATTGTATATTAATTATTTTCACATTGTTTAACTTAGTACAAATTCCTCTGTTTTCCTCTGTTTATTCTGGAAGGAGTTTTAAATCTAACAGTGATGCGATTGCAAGATCAATGTATGCCCTGTTATTTGATTTTTACTAAACTCAAAAAGAGCATGTTAACTGAACATAGGAGTTCAATGCCCTTAGTTCCCGAAGTTGTAAATTTTTTATGTGTAGGAAGAGTCTCTCTTTATGACAGCGAATACAGCAGATGTTGCCTCGCAAATGTTGAAGGGGGCACAGGTCCCAGGATTTATGTTCATATATCAATATTGCTATCGTTACACAACAGAATGCCAAAAAATATTTTTTTAAATCCACTGAACTCTTGTTTGTCTGAAGAAAATAAACAGAAAAAGAAACAAATAAAAATTATATATATATACACCAGCTAAATTTTAAAAATGCACTATAAAAAGTGCATTATAGCGACTGGAAAAATTAATTGTATATATGCATCTTTTATGTTTTATATAGGATATGTAAAGTGTTTACGGAATATATGTTAAGTGTTTGCCAGACAGAAACATAACATAAACACATGATTCTAAAAATTAACTCATGCAGGCGGATGATTTAAGACGAGCGGATCAAGCCTTTGCGTCAACATTTTGTTCCTCCCCTCTTTTTCCTTGCGCTCTGCCTCCACTTCTTACGGTAACGAGAAACTGCTGTTTCTCAGCTGATAAGAGGCATCCACTCCCGGGCAGCCTCCTCAGTCGGGACTTAGCAGCACAGAAGCCCACCGCAGCCCACCGCCTCACTTTGCAGACAGGCGCTTTTTGCGGCCGTAAGACCCAAGATGCTGGACAACGAGGACCATCTCTTGGAGAACCACCCGCGAGAACTCACCCAGAACCCGCTGAAGAAGATCTGGATGCCGCATAAGAACAGCCACATCGGGCACAGACGGGGTAAGAGATGCGGCTGACCCCCACTTGCAAGTGCGCCAACACGAGATGTGACCGGGACATACATCTGCGGAGATTTTTATTTATTTATTTATTTTCTCAATTTGCGTCAGTTTTTGGGCTTGTGTCATTCTTCCCCGTGTCAGATTGAAACCTGAACTCATTGAGGCGCAGCGCGGTGAGCCTGGAAGTGTTGCATCATGCTCTGCTCCTCTAATCCGTGGAAGCACAATTAGTGGCGCTTCCACGGAAAGGTATTCAAGGAGCACAGGAAGTTAATTTAGCCTGAGCCAGCACTAACCTGTCTGGGTGTGAGACTTGGCAGATGCTGTTCAATCTCACCCGGCTGCTTTCTCCCCGTCTCTGTCTGCAGCTCGTGTTTCTACTGACCCAAAACTCTGCTTTCCTCTTTTCTTTCTCTTTTTTTTTTTAAATAGCTGCAGCCAGTCCAGTCCTGCGTCTGACAGGACAACACCCTCTGCAGCTCCAATGCAAAGACTACTGCGATGAAACCCTTTTTGAAATGAATTATAAATGGTTTCATAACTTTATGTTGTAAAAAATAAATTATTTTATTGCCAAAACGACTTGGCAAAAAGGGACTTGACCCATTATTTTGGGAAAGTGAACAGGTGGTTGTAGCCTTGATTTAAAGGAACTAGTTCATAATGGCAGAAATGTTAGAATAATCTTAGTGTCACTTTTATTTAGTAAACATTTAACAGCTATAAGAGAATATATATATATATATATATATATGTGTGTGTGTGTATATATATGTGTCTGTATGTATACATGTGTATATCACCCTTTTATTTCAAGATTTATAATAACAAACCAACAATTAAACTGCTTTAACCTCAACTCATGTTAATTATTAAACAATTAGCCACAAATAAATTCTGAAGATACGGTTATTTTTCTGATTTTCTCCATTTGCTAACAAGCAGCCATGAAAAATTGTGTTTTTATTAGACGGATAACTTTCAGCAGCAAACTGTATAAATGCGAGCATAAATGATTGACCAGTCAAATAGTCGAAATTTATTTCTGTATCACATTTTAAATTTGCATAATTTACTAAAGTCATAAACAACTTAGTGAAACATAAACCACATTAATATAATTAAAAGCAAAAATATAACCATATAGAAAAAACACTGTTGAACCAGCAACATAAAATTAGATTAAAATAACTAATAATCAGAATCAGCTTTACTGGTCAAGATTATGTTCACAAACAAGGAATTTAACCTGGGTTTGCAAGTGCTCACAGTACACAGACACATATGAAATAAAACAAGGATAAAGGGAAAATATGTGCATCCAAAATTACATAATGCAATTTACATGCCCTACATTTTAATCTTCAAGTCAAATTTACAGCTGACTATTCCCCTGGAACATAATTTACTTTTTTTTTTAATCTGTTTTGAGTATAAAAAGTCGAGTTTTTGCGAAAGCCTTGATAGTAAACTGCAACAACTGTGAGAAATCCAGCAGAGCTGCATATTTGCTCTGATCCCAGTGGTTAAATATGTGCAACATTTGTATCACAAAGGCCTGCCTGCATGCTACTGCCTGGGGATTTAAGGGCTATCACAGGCTGCCTATAAATATTTCATGCTGTGGATGGTCTCTAGTCTTCCTTAAGCTGAGAGGCTAAAGCCGGCTGAGAGTTGTGTAATGGTAAAGCCAGAAAATTGGCAGGAAAATATGAGTTAATTGTTCTCAATGTTCACATGGCAGTGTGCAGATATAATATTGCAATTAAATATTTCCCTGATAACCTGGAGCATCACCACAGAAGCTGTGAACTTTAAATAACTGTAAAGCTCAGTCCTGGCTTTTAAGTTAGTAGTAAAAACAATACGGCCACTTTAATGTAAGATGCTTGAATTATTGTTTTTTCCATTGTTTTCTCGTCTTCCCTCAGTATGCATGACAAACTGCCCGACGCTCATCGTGACCGTCGGACTTCCTGCCCGAGGAAAGACGTACATTTCAAAGAAGCTCACCCGCTACCTGAACTGGATAGGCGTACCAACCAAAGGTATGGGAGCAGTTATCCCGACAATTATCCGCATGTCAAAGTGAAAAGCAGCTGCTCTCTTTGGTTTGAAACGCGACTGTCTGGTTGTCAGAGTTCAACGTCGGTGATTATCGGAGAGAGTCTCTGAAGATCTACAAGTCTTTCGAGTTTTTCCGTCCAGACAACGAAGAGGGCGTTAAAATCAGACGGTGAGTTTTCACCGACGTTTTAAGGATCTAAAGTATTCAGTCACACAGGCAGAGAGGAAACACAACAGAGTGATGCTGAACTGGCCAGATTTTCCATTTGAAATTTATGTTTTTTCTAGACTTAAATTTCAAGATTTTTTTTTTATTTTTATAAAACACTAAACAAAACATTTACCTCATCGGTTTTTAGGATGTTTTATTACAAAGATCATCAGAAACTGTTGCCTTCCCATGCAGCAATGTGGGAAAAAGCCGTTTGCTCCATTTTTTGTCTTTTTTTTTTGTGGCACCTGGACCCAAATGGATCAGCTCTGTTTCAAAATCTTTAACCCTTGTACATGTTAAATCCAGACTGAGTCATTCTCCTTTAAATGGAGACATCTGAGTCATTCTCCTTTAAATGGAGACATCCTAAAGCACTTTCTGATCAGTGATGCTTTTATTTTGTTTGTGAAAATTTAAAAAATATAAGTCACTGATAGTTTTGTGCTTTGTTTAGCATCTAAAGTGTGCACAGTTTAAGAAACACCAAAGCTTTTAAATAAAAGGGGGCCTAGAGGAAACAAAAGCACAAAAATTCCCACTTGTTAAAAGTTTTTGATGGGTGTGCATTTATATTTGTTCTTGTTGAGTAGATTGCTGATAAATGAAGCAATCTCGAAAGAAATCCACGTAAAAACTCATTTATTAATTTTGAAATCCTGAATTTAATATATTCATCAACAGACAAAGGAATAAACTCTAAAACCGAAACATCTTCCCACACTTACCCAGACTTGGAAAATGTCCAAATCCATTTTGGAACATTTCAGTGAGTCGTGACGGACCCATCTGTAAATTGCTTTAAAGAGTATCTCCTCTTTCACAGTCAATGTGCGATGTCTGCGCTGAATGATGTGCGGCAGTATCTGAGTGTCGAAGGAGGACAAGTTGCTGTAAGTCCTTCAGTTGCTCCCTGATGTCTGCAAGCAGAGCAGCTGCACAGCAATTAGGTGAAAGTGCTGCAGTAACGACTCTTTCCTGCTGTTTCAGGTGTTTGACGCTACGAACACGACAAGAGACAGAAGAGGAACCATCATAAAGTTCGCCGAACAGAACGGGTTCAAAGTATGATCAATTGATCTGCTTTTAATTTCGAGTCGATGGCTTCCAAGTTTTTACAGTACGTTCTTCTCAATGCAGGTATTTTTTGTGGAGTCTGTGTGTGAAGACCCGGAGGTCATTGCACAAAACATTGTGGTGAGCACCATTTGTTTTGATTCTGTGTTTATGTCAAATAATATGCAGCTGTGTAATTCTGCCTTCTAGAAACGTGTTTGTTTTGATTCAGCCAACGTCTGCTTCCTGCTTTTCCTTCGCTCACATGCTGTCTTTTTGTTTGAAGCAAGTGAAGCTGGGAAACCCAGACTACTTGAACTGCAGCTCAGAGGAGGCCATCGAAGACTTCATGGAGAGAATAAAGTGTTACGAGACTTCCTACCAGCCTCTGGATGAAGATCTGGACGGGTGAGGATCCATAAACGAATCGACCCGACGGTGAAATCGCCTCGGTGTCGAGGAGGTGTGACCGACTTTCCTCTCTTTCCAGAGACATGTCTTACATAAAGATCATGGATGTGGGTCGTCGATACCTGGTGAACCGCGTTGTTGACCACATCCAGAGCCGAATCGTCTACTACCTGATGAATATCCACATCACTCCACGCTCCATCTACCTCTGTCGTCATGGTGAAAGCGATCTCAACATCAAGGGACGCATCGGAGGAGACTCCGGCTTGTCTTCCAGGGGGAAAGAGGTCAGTGTCTGCGCACGTCTGAAATATATAGGAATGTGCAAAATGTTCCTTAGGCTTTCATTGAAGAAAGCCATAAGAAACTTGATTGTACGTAGTTTCCTATTAGTCTTTTAAGGACAGGGCTGAAATGATTCATCAAATTCATTGTGAAGAATGAAGTACTTGTCAATTAATTTGGTTTGTCAAATTAACCAAATTACAGACCATAAAACCCCCAAAAAGGTTGTTTGCTGATAGAACAACGTATTCACTGTCGTAATTAAGCGAAAAAAATGTGCAAAACATGTATGCGTTTTGCATTCAAGATTAAAAAATATTTGCCTGTTAATATTTTCTACCCTGACCTCCACATGGATGTTTGGCAAAGTATGTTTCTGGATTCATATTGTAAAGATGAAAGAAATGCCCTGATTTCTTTAATCAATGGCATTAAAGTATCAATGCGATGATTGATGAAAATTGCATGTCTGCGCGAAATGTGCGGATGTTAAGTGAATTGCGATTGTAACTTCCTGGATTAAACTCGATGTCGACCTTCATGAAATGGTTCCTTTTCATGCAGTTTGCTAAACGCTTGAGGAGCTTCCTTGAAGAGCAGAAAATCAAGGATCTGAAGATCTGGACCAGCCAGATGAAGAGAACCATCCAGACAGCAGAGTGCCTTGGCGTTCCATATGAACAATGGAAATCCCTCAACGAGATCGATGCTGTAAGTTCACTTCTGGTCTCAGCCCTTAAGAAGAAATACTATTACCAAAGTAACATTTTGAAATCTGTTATCTTCCTTCTACAAAGGGTGTGTGTGAAGAAATGATGTATGAGGAGATCCAGAAGCATTTCCCTCTGGAGTTCGCTTTGAGAGACCAAGACAAGTACCGCTACCGCTATCCAAAAGGAGAGGTGATTAGAGGGATTTCTCTGAATGTTTTACTGGATTTTTACATGAGTTTTTGTGGCATATTTAGAGTATTGTGTGGCTCTGTGTTAGTCGTATGAAGACCTGGTGCAGCGGCTGGAGCCTGTGATCATGGAGTTGGAGAGGCAGGAGAATGTCCTGGTCATTTGTCACCAGGCTGTGATGCGTTGCCTGCTGGCGTACTTCCTGGACAAGACTTCACGTAAGAGAGACGTTGTCTCTTTAAAATGGGTCAATGCGTATCTTTTGAATAATTAGTCTGAAGCAGAAGGAAAACTTTTTATGGTTTCAAGTTTCTATGCAAGTGAAAATTGGAATGTGTCATCCATTTGTGTTCAGCCAACTCATAAATAATTGAGAGCATACATTTAAGTCCTTACACAGACTCTGAGCTGAATTTTAGTCAGGGCTTTGACTGGGCCATTTTAATTAATGGGTATGTCTCAATCTAAACCTGCAACCTGCAGCTCCAGAGCTTAACAAAGGCTCTTAATAACTCTTGCTTAAAATTATAAAGAGTCAGCTGTTGTTTAAATACAGACATCTACAAAATGTATGTGTAACAGCTGTTTTAGATATACATTAATATTACACCCTCTCCTTCACGGTTTGAAGTAAACTCCAACCAGGACTTACTGTGATTTTCTGCTTCTCTCCTTCCTACAGATGAGTTGCCTTATCTCAAGTGTCCTCTACACACCGTCTTAAAGTTGACACCCGTTGCTTATGGTAAGCGTTTTTGGGGAGTTTATAAATGTTTTTCTAAGTATTCTCTCAGTGAGATTATGCTGTTTATTGAGAGGCTTTCAGTATTAATAGGTATTTAATGTGATTATCTTCACTTTAGGTTTTAAAACCATACACATTTTCCACTTTAGGTCAAAAATGTGATTTTATTTTAGCTTCTTCCACTTGTTTTGTTTACAGTGTGTGGCATTTCGTTCTTCTACACTTTGTAGTTCTGGGTTGGAACTGAGATGTTTTTCATACTGACAAATTGCAGCCTCATAATGCAGAGAAGCAATAAGCTCTGTAGACAACCAGCCTTCCCTGTGAAGTCATTCTGCATCTGAAATTCTTGTTCAGGCAATGTCGCGTTCTGGTTGCATAACTCTAACAGCTCCTTTGTAGTTGGGGATCGTGTGTGAAATAGGTTAGGCTTGAAAACAGGTATTTATGTAATTTGACAAAACTTGTCATCGGTAACTGCTACGAAAGTTATTCTCATATTATCAGCTATTAAGTATGTAGAAATTTCTTTGAGAAGTTGTGTTATGTTATTGCCTCATCAAAAACACAACTGGAGTGTTGCTTTGATTCAGGCATGTTTGAGGACAGCCAGTGGGGGTGCCTAAACGCTCACTCAGCTCCACCAGACTAGCAGCAGCAGCAACCAGCAAACACCTGGTGTAACTGTGTGACTGCTGAGCTCATCATACAAACATAACAACTCTCTTGACTGTAAACGACATCATGGAGTAGTATGTTTTGTGGTGACTTCTTGAAGGTTGAGTATCAGAGCAGGAGCTTCTTAAAGTGACAGAAGCCCAATTGGAAAGTAAAATGTCTTTTAAGTCATGTTTGATATATATATATATATATTTAGCATTTTTATAGCAAGAGTCCGAGGAAGTCTTGAAATTAAAGTGGTGAAACTCAGAAATCCTGGAAACAGCTTCATCACAAGCTAAAGGAAACCAGCTGCAGCTTGAGGCGCACAGAGTTTATTATCATGCCGACACAAAGCTTATTTCCTCTGAATAATGTATTATTTTTCTCTTTGTTTTCTCCTCCTCAGGATGTAAAGTGGAGTCTGTGTATTTAGGCGTGGAGTCTGTGAACACACACAGAGACCGACCAGAGGTGGGTATCACAAACAGCATACTGAGAAGTCTGACAGCAGAGCGTTGACTTCGCTGCGTCATCAACCTCACGCCGTCCGTGGGCCTCGTCCAGATCTGGGCCGGGTCGGGTCGGGTGGGGGTTCCTCTCTTTAAACACACAGACTGTGACTTTGTGCCTAAGCTCTTCAGAAGGCACATCACGTCCTCCTACATATTCAGTCCGAATCCCCCTGCAGCTCAGCTGTCAGTGTTCACTCCTGTTGTGACAGAATATGAAGAATGTATCACAAAACAGCCCGATCTGTTGACCCATCATTTCATTCTTGTTTCCAGTGTTAGAAAAATAATTCAGCTTTGTGTTTCTATGAACAAAGTGTGACAGATCAGTACAGTACGGAGAGTCCTGTGGGACAAACAATTACTGCACGTAACATACATTAATATTTAACCAGCTGATTGCAGATTAGAGCTGATAGAGAAAACTATCATATTTCAAACTCTGAATAATTAACTGGTGCATCTGTATTTCTTTGTATGCGTGCCTGTGGTTAATCTCTCGTTCAAACCTCTGTTTCATCATAAGTTTAATTTGAGTTTATTTATAGCTTTTGTTGATTGTCGCCGCTGTACGCACAATTTGAAATCGTAACTTGAATCATGCTGCACACGACGCACAATTGTCCTGCCTATTGAGTTTTGTTAAAGCTGCACCTTGAATCTAAGCTAAGTATTGTTTTTAAATGTTAAAGGTTGACCTGTGATTTTTTTACCAGCAATGTTTTCAGTTTGCTGTTAAGTTTCGAAGTTTGTGTTTTATACTTCAATCGAATGTAATTTGTCTTATGTTGACATTGTTAACGTTTGTGCATTGTAAATAAAACAAGCTCATTTCAATTATTGTTTCTGGCCAAATTATCTTTTATTTTGTCAAAATTAAAGCAGACATAGTGGCTTACATTTTTAAAGCCAGTTTTCTTCATTATACATAAAATTTCAGCACTATATTCAGAGCAGTAAGGTTGGAGACAACTAAATGTATTCTACAGCCTCTTCATATTGTCTCTGATTTTTATAGATCTAGTTACACCTAGAAAAAAACCCAGCCACTTTTGCCTGAAAATGGATAATCCGTACACCACAAGGCTCCCAGTGGATGGCCTTTGCTGCCCTCTAGTGGACAGTAATGTCTAATTTTTCTCATTTTCATTTGAAATGGACATAACATACATTTAACATGCTATATACAAACTAATCTGCTTAGGTTATTTCTCTTACATTACCTGAAATAAAGTGTTTAACATTTAAAAGCATCTTTCATATGATCATACCCAGCATTTGCTTCATGCAGGAGTTCAGTTTCGAAGATTTCTTTTACTGTCAGTACTTTTCAGATCTGACAGATTATGATACTGACCATCCCTCTATTGCTTCTTGCAGAACGTGAACGTGCAGCGCAGCACCGAAGATGCTCTGCAGACGGTTCCAGCTCACCTCTAATATCTGTGATCGTTGCTCCAGCAGGAACATCATTCGGCGTAAGCGACGCCTGCTCTGCAGCTTCAATCGACTCCGTGCAGTACTTTTAGTTTCTATTGGGAGAAATCCATTCCTTATCTGTGGGACCACTGTTACTGGTGCTACAATAATCCCAGTAGTATCATCTGTGACTGTTGTGCTGAGTCCTGTGTGTACCGTCACGCGCTTCTGTTGACTTGGAAGATGTTTTTAATCAACTGAAAAAAACTGATAACTCCAGAAGAACCTCATAATAGTGTATTTTGTGTTATTTTTTTAGATCACTGCTTTATTTTTACTTACTGTATTATATTTTATACTGAAGCTGTAAAGAAAAAAAATAAAAGGTGCCGAAAGAACTAACAGAGCCAGATGAACCGAATGCATTCCACTGAAGTCTCTAAATGTGTTTCTGTTGCTATATTCCAAAATGTGACAACCTCAGTAAAATCAAGGACTTTTAGTGAAGCTGATTTTTATGATTAGATACTAAACAGAAAATATATCTACCGTCCTGTTCCTGGTCTGCGCTCTGAATGAAAGTATGAAGTGTGGTACCATGCAAGTGATAGATCTCTATCATATTACTACCTGTTATTGTACATATCTGTGCTGAATATGCAGCTCTGGAAAAGGAAATGTGAAACAGCTGAAAAATAACCACTAAAATACAAAGTAAACTTTGTATTTTATTTTTATTTTTTATTAATTGCCAGATGTGTAAATTTGTTTCATCTGTTTGCATGTGAAATAAAACATTAACTGATTGCCCTCATGGTTCATTGTTTGTGATAACAAAACAAAATGAAATTTATGTGCATATAATATATATCTGTAAATATATTTAAAAACATTTAAATTATCTTAAAAAAAAAAATCAGTTTCATCCTGTGCTCAATATATAGAGGCTGTGTTGACAGCGAAAAATGAAGGTGTGGTAGGAATATCATACACAAACATCAATCATTTGAGCACAGGACAAGTTTCAGGTTAAAGGGAAGAGCCCCATTGGCCCTCACAGCCTCACTGCACTTCTTTATCTTCTTTTTCCCTCTTGGCGGATAACGCCAGCGAAGGTCTGCCCTGCCGTGAGTCGGCTCCACAGTGACGGCCAATATTGCAAAAGGAATGTGTTCTTAGCTCTTCTCTCGCTTTCAGAACTGCAGAAATAAAACAAAATGCCATTTCAAGCTTACGCCGCAGAAAATGCTGCACTGGAAAACAGAATGAAAGAACGACTGAAAACCAAACGTACATTTTTGAGGAACTCCTCTGCGACGATGCGAGCCCTGGCGTTGACGGACAGCTTCATTTCACTGATTTCCTTGTCGATTTCTTCCATAAAATTAATAACAAAGTCCACTAGTTTGTGCTTGTACATCTGCTCAGTGTGGAAGTTGGTGATGAGAAAAGAAATGTCGTATCCCTGCAAAACACAAATGTCACGATTAAATATTCAAGATTAGTACGGTGAAATACTCACATCATTACAAAGATACATTTTTCACTTGTTTTTCGCATGACGGAAAACAATTAAGGCTCAAGATTAAAAATTATATATTTAAAAAAAAGGTAACTTTGGCTTAAGCAATTAAATTTACCAGTTTGTTAAAGTAAGAAAGTGTCAAGGCTGATATAGTGGAGCCTCTAGAGCTCCACTATATCACTACTAATGGAAAAGATGGCTTCCCGGCTGACTTTATTCATTTGTGAAACAAAAGCTTAAAAAAAACCCCATAAAATAAACAAATATAGTAAGCCATGTTGCGGTAATTTAAGTTTCTATTAAAAAGCTATAAACATGTACAGATTAATGCCAGATGCCAGTTAAGTCATAATGTTAATATTTCAATAATATTCTAAATGACTTAAGTTAATCTCCTAAAGAATAAATAATACACAGCATGAGTGGATATAGAAGAGTTTAACAGGAGATAATCAATTTCATAAGTATTTTGTACATGTCTGCTATAAAACTGAATGCAAAGTTTCAATGGTATTTTCAGTCACTTACCTCGACTGGTTTCCTCCTCAGGATGAAGAAGTTTTCCGCCCTCATCATCATGAAGCGCATGAATTTATGGCACAGGATCTTCTCAATCTCATCTGCCTGCAGCAGCAAATAAAATGTGCATCCATTAAAGCCAGGAAGTTGTTCAGGTCTTGATCATTGTTGTGTCAGTTCTGGAAAGAAATCTGGCTGACCTGCTTCACGGCGATGCTCACTCTGACAGAGTTGATGGAGCCCTCAATCAGAACCTTCTCCTTGTCGTTACGACTAATGATTACAGGTTGGAGGAGCAACTCTTTGCTGCTTCTGGACACGAGCAAAAAACGGCAATAAAGTGCACGTCACCATGAGTGGCAAACTGAATATCTTTCTCTCAACTGTGACGGTTGTCTCACCTGACTTCCACCTCTGGTTTGTTGTGCCTTTCCACCACCTGAGAGGAGAAGTTCTCCAGGCAAAGAGCGGCCTGCAGCGTGGCACGCACCGCGTTGAGATATGGACGCAGAGTGGCCGTCTGATGGTGGAAAACAAGAGGCTGAACTGAGGAAAAATGCTTTCCAATGGAAAATGAATGCACCTCACCACATATTGAACTGGTTTAAAAGAATTCAACATGTTTCTGGATGATGAATAACCTCTCACTCTGTGTATTAAGAATGACTGTGGAGACCTTTAACCTGCTGATTCCTCCAGTTTCCTGCTACTGCTCTGCAACTTTTAGACACACTCCTGCTCCAACACAACTGACGCAAATGTATGGCTCATTGCCAGGCCTCTGTCAAACCTGATGGCATGCTGAAGTAATTCAATCATGTGATTCAGGAGTGTCTGAAACCTCTCAGCAGCTTCTATTCCATTCAAAACCAAAGTGACCATTTCTATCACATTACAAATGTCCTCTTGTCTAAAGGGAAAGAGGATGGTGGTTAAATCTCTGAACTCAAACAGATTGAAAAACGCAATCTGTTGAGTTTGGCACTAATCGTTGAAACGCCTTTATTTGCATGGGTTAGATAAATATTTAGCATACAATTATTAATAATGGAGGAGAAACCTGCTCCAGACGGCAAACATACGTTACATCTTTTTCAATTTTATCATTGAATTTTATCATTATTACCAAGGAAAAGGTGAAAAAGGAAGCAGGAAGCTTCACCAAATATATTTTTTTCTTGAAGCGGATACAGCCCTGTTTTAAACTGCAAAGTATTACTATAATGTATCACTACAAAGTGGTGGCTACTAAAACAACTGAAGACATCCTCCTGCTAAACCTGATGTTAGGAAAAACCTTAAAATTTCTCTTAGCTTGTCGATTAGCCACCGTTAGCAGCTAAGCTACGTCTCAACTGACCACAGGATATAACTTCCGCCTGCATTAGCTACTGAAATTATATCAAAACACTCGTTACCCCAAAAAAATCTGATTTGAATAATAGTTAAAATTATACATTTTATGCGGACATATGTCAAATTTCTCTCACCATTTCTCGGTTTCAGCAGGGGAAGCTAAACGCGGAAGTGGTTACTGTTGCGCTTTTCCGCGAGCACACCGGAAGTGCCCACGGATGCCTGAATAAACACATAAAAAAGATTTTTTCAAATATGTGTCTTATGCATTTAAACTATACCCATTTTATTTTGTCATTTGAATTTAGATGGTTTTACAGCAAAGAGATGTTTAATTTACTCTTTAGTATGGAGCTAATTTATCAATTTTAGATGCTCCTTTCCCATTTATTGTACATCTAAAAACCTTTAATTTATATTTTAAGGATTTAGTTTAAAAAAAGGAAGCGTAATTATGGAAGTAAAAAAAAAAAACAAAAGGATTGTATTTTGCGTACATTCTATGCAATTAGCCACATTCAATGACATTACACAGACTACCTTCACGGCATTTAAGAAGCCGTCCACTGATTACCAACATTCTTTTTGCATTTACTTTATCTAGAAAGATTAAACTTTAAGTATTGGTAGAAACATCCAGGTTAGCATAAAGTTAATTTATTTTTAGACTATAGATCTTTTTCACGCTTTCAGTTTTGAAAGCGGATGTGGGGTTGGACAACTTCCGGTGGATATAGCGTTAGCATTAAAAGGCTAGGAAAATGTTGTGTTTTTTTTCAGTCCCTGGTTTTTCATGTGGGGCAAGAAAACAGCCTTATCTGTCATATCATGCGTTCCCGACGGACCCGGACCAACGGAGGCAGTGGATCCAGGCGATCCGAAGAGATGAAGGTCCGGACTTTTGCATAAAGACGGGGAGCACTTTCGTATGTAGCCGCCACTTCACACCGGAGGATTTTGTTAAAGGTGGAGCTGTTCCTTCCCTGTTTGCCTGAAATAACTTCACTGCACCAGCAATGAGAGAGTCTGCTTTCGAGAGGGCTAAGAAACGGCAGTTTGTCCTCTCAGAAAGCTAGCCAGGCTAAAGATGCTACAGCAGTATTTAATTTGAGTTTAATTTAAAACGTCTAGTCCCATTTTTAATTACTGAAATTAACATTTTCACAATATTCACTATAAGATGCACCTGTAAGACATCAAACAACAAGCACTTCATATATTCAAGAGTTTTATTATTTGACGTTCAAATTTTCTTTTACAACATCATTGGCATTGCTGTAATGTTTTCTGTAAGGAAAAAAAAAATAAGAGTAATACCAGGGAAAATTGTTGAATATTTTCTTTAAATGGAAAGAAGAAACATTTCAGTTCTATACCATCTATACACCGTAATACACAATCCGTTAAAAATATTAAGTACTTAGCCAACCTGAGCTACAAGCAGATAGATAGGACAGCAATAGTGAAAGACAGGACAGGAGACGGGTGTATGCAGTGTTGGTGATGCATGTGGTCACCCTTTGCCATTGAGAGGTGTCTGATGAGGAGGACATAACACATACAGCAGTAATAGTAGCAGTACAAGTAATGTTACATAAAAGGCAAACTTTTATATCAAGCTTTTAACTTGTTACACTGTGACTGCCTAATCAGCTTTTACTTGACACAGTAGCATATATTCAGCAGTGTGAGGCAGTTAGAAACCCCAATCCTGAAGTGAAAAGGCAATACAATCACCAGATTGTTCAGAAGATTCTCAGGAGATATTCGAAGGAAGGAGGTATAAATTTAGAGCTTACCAAAAGGCATGTGATAAAGAGATGTTGCCCAAAAAAAAGGAAAAAAAATGAAATCAGTCATCCCTCCATAACACTTGAAGGCAAAAAAATTAACACAAAAAGAAAAGTGCAAAACCACAAATGTTTAAGATTTTCTTTTAAATTAACCGCCAATTACAACAAATATTTATTTAGTTCTGCTAGTTTATTTCATGAGAAAGGCGCAAAAGAAAGCGAGTATAAAGCAGAGAATGATATTTAGGATGCTGCATCTTGGGAAAAGCCAACATCATCTCACAACAGAGCTTGCTTTGAGAGCTCTGGAGTCCGTCCAGATTTTCTAATTGCACACTGAACATGGCTCCTCGACCTCGCCCTCTCAGAGTGAGTCAGGGGCAAAACCTGACAAACATGGCAAAATACAGGAGTTCACTCACTACTGAGTCATGGGTGTGAGGTCACGAAGGGTGCGTTTCTTCTCTCATGTGATTTTACTGCGCTGGATTTGTCATCATTTTACGTGAGGTGGCACAAGTGTATTAAATTATGTACTAAGTGGGGAACGAGAAAGAGGTTTAGGGGTGGAGGGGACGTACGTCCATGTGAGGGGTGGTGTCAATGGAATGAG